AGAGGTCTGAATCCTTCCACTCTCCTCTGTAACCACAATCCTAAACACTCTGAGACTCATATTTTTCTTGACAATGTCAAGGTATTATTAGTAGAGGTAGATGCTTTTAATTGTAGCTCCTCATTCAAAACATTGTATGCTAAAATGTTTGGTGATATTGTGTCCCCCAATACATTATGCACCTTAATAAACTTATCTGGGGTCAGAGAACAGAACAGCCACTAGATAGACATAGAGGCCAGAAAATGGTGGCACACAAACCTTTAATCCTAGCATTATGGAGGTGGAGATCCATCCAGATCTCTGTGAGTTCAAAGCCACACTGGAAACAGCCAGGCATGGTGACATACAACTTTAATCACAGGAAGTGATGGCAGGAAGCAGAAAGGTATATAAGGCTTGAGAACCAGGAACTAGAGTCTGTTAAGCTTTTAGGCTTTTGAACAGCAGTTCATCTGAGATCCATTTGGATGAGGACACAGAGGCTTCCAGTTTGAGGAAACGAGATCAGCTGAGGAACTGGCGAGGTGAGGTTAGCTGTGGCTGGTTCTGTTTCTCTGATCTTTCAGCATTCACCCTAATACCTGGCTCCAGGGTTTGTTTTTATTAATAAGACCTTCTAACAATTTGTATTACAAAGATGTTATTAATTTTCAGCAGAACATAGACTCTGAAGGGAGCTCAGGGAAAGACACTGTAACCCAGACCAGAGATTAAAAGGTACCTTTCCACTATGGCCTCTTTTCACTTTCACTTGTATTTCTTCCCTTTTGAGACTCAAAACACTGAGTTCCTCACAATAATATATTGTTGTTCAAATCTTAAATAGACCAGAGCCACATACTGGGGTAAAAGTTGAAGATCAGAGAAGCAGAACAAGCCACAGCCACCACCTATTACCTCACCAGCTCTAGGAATCCTCTGACTGAAAGCCTCTGAGTCATCACCCAAATGGGTTTCAGCTGAACTGCCTTAGTTCCTGTTTCCTCATGCCTTATATACCTTTCTTTGCCCTGCCATCACTTCCTGGGATTAAAGGTGTATGTGCTTCCCAGTACTGGGATTAAAGGTGTGTGCCACCACTGTCTGGCTCTGTTTCCAGTGTGGCCTTGAACTCACAGAGGTCCAAATGGATCTCTGCCTCCCGAGTGATAGCATTAAGTGTGTGTGCCACCACTCTCTGACCTCTGTGTCTAATCTAGTGGCTGGCTCTGTCCTCTGATCCTCTGCAAGCTTTATTGGGGTACAAAATATATCACCACAAAATATTTTCATTTATATTTGTCAGCTTATATGTGTATATAACAATAATAATTAAAGAATAAGGCAATTGATTTGAGATGAAGGGCTCATGGGAGGTTGTCAGAGGGAAGTGAGGGAGTGAAAAATGATGTAATTACAGTTCTCAGATAAGAAATTCTCAAAAAATGTACCATATATCTTTTACATTTCAAAGAGAATGTGATTTTTCATACTGTGCACTTGACATTTTTATATTCTTCATTTCATTAAAAATCACCAACACTAAGTATATCTACTGATCCACTGTATGGATACAAACCTAATTTGGTTCCTTTCTGTTTGTCAATAATAATATGTTTTTTGTCTTACACATTTCCTTATATTTTTGTTTATAATATACAGTTTTCTTATCTACCAAAAACATGGGCATTGAAAGGAACAATCATAACTTATCTATCAACTATATTGAAATATACCTTAGAACAACATAGTTGGATTTTCCCTCTGTTGTTAAATACCTTCTTTTATGTTTTTCCTATAGAACCCTGGTGACACATCTATCTCACCTGTGCCTCTTACCCTCTCATTTGTACCCACACTTTTTCCTCGGTCAACTTTAGACTCTTTACATTTGAGAGCAACAACATTTCATTAATTTCCTAATATAACTGTTTCTAGATAATACAGAAATGCAGGAAATGAAAATGAATTTTACTAAGAATATTTGAATAGTTCTTCCCTGTACTTTTAAGGCATATTCTTTTCTTTGCAAAGTATTATCTAGGGGCATATTAGTGTCATTTGTCTATCTAATGTACTCATTATTAATTTTCAGTAAAAAGCTGTAGGTACTGCAAAGATAAAAGACAATTTGCACGTAGATTATATTCTGGTTAAATGTGAGCTTGATTGCCCCTATGTTCTTATAAGCTGGATTCGATGAGTTTATATTTAACAATATTTCATATAAAAGGCCGAACCTACCAGAGAAAATACTCTTGACATGATCTAACAAAATGAATTCCAGTTATATTCCAAACCACTGTGTTGCATTGTACTTAAGCTTCATCTTGAAACACTGTAGTAGTGCCCAATCTCACAGAGATACTCTTTCAACCTACCCAGGCAGGATGTTCTTCTTTGTCTCCTCATAGTGCATGCACAGAGAAGCTGGCTGCATGGCTTTGTTAGTATCTCTGTCCCAGAGGCTCTTACTCCAGAGAATAAGAAAATGAGGCTATCAAAAAAATGAGAGTCTATATTCCTGTGGGAGATACATTCAAAGAAGTACTTATCTCTATATGAAGAATATATCTATTGCATTGCTTTCAATACAGTGTTTTTACAGAGGGTCTGATAACTTCTTTTAAGGTGAAAGAAATGACATTTCTTTTAAAATTATTAATAATTAATTAAATTTCCCGGCCCAATCACAGTTTCCTTTCCCTCCCTTCTGTCCTCCCTGTTTCTCTCCCCTAAACCTCCACACCCCTGCCCCACCCCTTGCATCCACTCCTTCTTTCTCTTCAGAAAAGTGCAGTCCTCCCATGGATATCAGCCAGCCATGGCATATCAAGATGCAGTAAGACTAGGAACCTCTTCTCCTCTTAAGGCTGGACAAGGCAACCCAATAGGAGGAAAGGGTCCCAAAAGCAGCCAACAGAGTCAGAGACAGCCCCTGATCCCTCTGTTAGGAATCCCATAAGATGATTAAGCTACACAGCTGTAACATATGTGCAGAGGACCTAGGTCAGCCCCAGGCAAATTCTCTGGTTGTCAGTTTAGTATCTGTGAGCCCCTATGAGCCCAGGTTAGTAGATTCTGTTGGCTTTTTTTGTGGTGTCCTTGACCTCTCTGGATCCCATAATCCTTCCTACCCCCTCTTCCACAGGATTCTCTGTGGTTCACCTAATGCTTGGCTATGTGTTGTCACATCTGTTTCCCCCAATTACTGGGAGAAGCCTCTCTCATGACAAATGGGTTAGGCAACGATCTGTAGTATAGCAGAATGAGTATAGCATGAGTACAGCATCTAATTCTTGGAAGAATTTATTGTCCACAACTCTTTATGTGCAAAACATTTGGCAAATCCCTGGACACAAACACACACACACACACACACACACACACACACACACACACACACACACACAGTGAATTTCAATCATGCAGAATGAAATTTTGGTATGACCATAAAATGAATGGGACAGAAAGGCATTGTTTTTCTTTTTTTTAGGGGAAGAGGGTGAGGGGGTGTTGAGACAGGGTTTCTCTGTGTAGTTTTCGTGCCTGTCCAGGATCTTGCTCTGTAGACCAGGTTGGCCCGAACTCACAGAGATCCTCCTGGCTCTGCCTCCCGAGTGCTGGGATTAAAGGCGTGCACCACCTGGCTGACATTGTTTATCTTTATGCTTCTCACCTTTTGTTTTACAGTATGATATAAAGTAAATATTAAATTACTAATAATTAATAGATGTCATTTGATTGAGGGGTATGAAAAGTGCAAACTATAGTGGTTTATCTATAGCAATTATAGTTCATCTATTTATAGTTGGAAACCTATAAATTTTGTGTAGTGAGCACTGCATACATTTTATTTGATGGCCTTGTTTATATACGATATGAGAAAGAATAAGAGGGTAGGCAAAAGGACACGTGGGGTATGAAAAAATGAAAAGATCTCAGTGATGGAGGCTACAAGGGGGTGACTAGGGTAGCAGGGGTCAAGGGAGAGGACAGGGAGGAGAGCCACGAAAGCACATGTTGTTAGAAAATGTCATAATGGTATCTAGCAAGATTAAAAAAAATCATAAAGCTTTGATATTTTGAATTCAAAGCTGCACATGTAGTAAGCAAATACATAAGTAAAAAGGGATGATTCAGTTCGTGGTGTACCTTAAAATTCTTCACAGTTGTATCTCATCACAAAATTTGTGACATTGTTTATATGACAAAAAATGTAGTAAAGATCAGGCTTTATCATATTGCTTCTCAAACTGATAAAAACAGTGAAAAACAGAGAATTGTAACTTTATGTAAAATGAAAGTAAAATAGCATTATTAGTGAGTGGGTGAATAACTGAAAACACACTTCCCCTGAGATCCTGATGTATGGGGAAGGAATACAGTTCCTCCTTTAGAACCAAGAAAATGCTTGGCAGAGCCAGTAATGGACTAGGGCCAGGGACTTGGTAGAGCTTTGACTTCAGATCCTGAGATTCCTCCAACTCTTCCTACCATAAGGGGCTATGGTTTTCAGTTCCAAGGTCACTGAGTGCTTGGTCTCTATATCCCTGAGATTGCAGAGTAACAGGCCAATGGAAAACACCCTGTTCTTGGACTGACCAGAGCTCTGAGTCTTGGAAATCCCCTATCTAGAGATGCAGCTTTAAGAGACAAAAAATGTTTCGGAGTCAAGGCTCTCGATACTTCTTACTGCGCTGTACTTTTCTACTAGTTCACTGCACATGCTTACAATATTCTAAAATAGCCTGCCCCTCCACGCAGCCATCTGCTGTCTCTATTTCTGCTCAGAGACAACCACCATTCTATGCCTTTCTTCCATAAGTCTCTTGTGTGAGGTTTGTTGCCTGGTGTGACTTTGTGGTATTCCTTGACTGCCAACTGTCAAGATGCCGTTGGAACCAGAAAACCCCATACAGAGATATTATATGTTCCCCTTGTGCAACATTGTTTGTTTTGTGTGTAAAACATTTTTTGTTTTCCTTTTTTCTACTGCAAGTAGCACATAATAAGTTTTACTTCTTAATAAACATGCTTGGCATAAGACAACAGTTTATGCAAGATCTTCTGATCCCAGGTTTCCATCTTCCTTATCTTCTCATCTCCTAGCACTCCCACTTAGGATCCTGTCACTGAAGAATGGCCTCTGGTCCATGTCACTTTTTTTATATGATTTCATCTTAAGAACCTAAAATAATACTTTGTACAAATAAATACAGAAGTAGCTTTGAAATAGTTTAGGGTGAAAATAACCTAAGGGATATTGGCTTTTTAAAGAGGATTTTGTCTTTGAAAAGTATTTGTTTTTATGTGTATGGATGTTTTGCCTGCATGTAGGTATATGTCCCACATGTGTGTAATACCCACTTTCAGAAGAAGGCATCAGATCCTCTGGAATCATAGTTACACATGGTTTGAATCCCTGTTTGTGGTGGGAATTAAACCCAGGTCCTCAGGAAGAGCAGCAAGTTTTGTTAACTTCTTAGCTGCTTCTCTAGCCCTGAAGTAGTTTTCATTATGTAGATGACAAAATTAATCAACGACCAGTATTCACTCACCATGTTCCTATTAGATTTAGCCGCTGAAATGTCATTCCTTTAAATTTTAGTTAACTCTTCATGGTCTATCAAAGAGAAAAGATTGTTATTAATTTTATTGTAATTATGAAATAGCATTAATGATCATTTACTAAATGTAAAATATTCATTTAACAATATTTTACTTGTTTTTATAATTTAACAGATTTTATTTTCTATGAAATTTCTATAAAAGTTTTCATAGTTTTGATTGTTTTATTTTTCAGAAAAATGTGGGTTATAGGTAGGCTTTGAATTTGAGACATGAAATTTGAGGTGTGTTTCTATCTGTTGTGATGTCTTACTTGGTAAATAGAGTTGTTTGTTTTGAAATGTGTGTTTTTATACCATAATGATGAAATTATCAGAATTAACTTTGGTACAAAGGATATTTCAGAGAGTACAATAGATTTGACTCCTACACTAAGTAATCAACCAAGAGACATCTGTTCATACAACCATGTCACTGATTGGTAGAGTTGTAAAGTGGCCTGCCCAGGTGTATTAGTTACTTTCCTTTTGCTGTGATAAAATGGCATGATCAGAAGAATCTTCAAGCAGGAACAAGTTACTTGGCCTTATGGCTCCAGAGGGGTTAAACTCCATCTTGGCAGGAAGGTATGGCAGCAAAATGGCTACAGAATAGAAGCTGAGAGCTGATATCTTCAAAGACAAACACAAAACAGAGAGAACAAACTAGAAGCAGCCCAAGGCTTTTAAAATCAAAGGCCTGCTTGACCATCCCATTCTCTTATGTTCTCATACCCCATCTCCCACCCTCTATTACCCCCTCACCCCTAGTTTACTCATGGAGATCCCAACTATTTTCCCAAGTCAATTCATGCATCCCTCTACATAGCGAGACAGTTGTCTAGCATGATCTGCTTAAGAGACTTCCCAGGCAGTAGGATCAGGATCCATCCCTGGTACATGAGCTGGCTTTTTGGAGCCCACTACCTGTCCTGGAACACCTTGCACAGCCTTGATGCAGGGGGAGGGCCTTGAACCAGCTTCAACTGAATGTACCAGGCTATGCTGACTCCCCATGAGAGGCCTTGCCTTGGAGGAGGTGGGAATGGGGGTTGTGAGGGAAGGCTAGGTAGGGACAGCAGGAAGGAAGAGAGGGGCATCTGTGATTGGTATGTAAAATGAATAAAAAAATCTTAATAAAAAAATCAAAGGCCTGACCCAGTAACTTACTTCCTCCAAACAGCCCCAAATGCATCACTAACTGGGGACCAAGTGTTCAAATGCCCAAGATTAGGGAGACATTCTGATTCAAACTACTCTGTCAGGGTATTGAGTCTATTGAATCCAGCATCCTGTATAAGCACAGAGAAGTTATTCTTTGTATTTTCCAGTGAACTCCAGTGTTGATTCAGATTAAGGGAGAATCTGTACTTACTCTACAGTGTTTTTGTTTTGTTTTTTTTTACATTTTTATTTGAATGATTTAAGTTTGTAAAGTTTCCTTATCTGAATTCTAATTATCAAGCTCTTGAAACAAAAACATATGTCTTCTCCCACAGGATGTGCTAAATTACAATGAGACATTGTTATTAATCTGTTATTCCCTTCTGAGTTATTATGTGTGAAAACTTCATGATAGGCAAATTAAATAAAGTTAATTATGTTAAGTAATTTAGAGAGTTTATAACTTCAGAAAATTATAATGCCATTAATTAAATATATATTTGTTACAATTTCAAATCTGTTTATCTTGATAAAAGTAAACATCAGGTAAATCACTGAAAACTAAATAAAAATGCAAAATGATGTTGTGAAATAAAAATACATACCAACATAGCTAAGGTGTTTGAACTCTGTGATTTTTCTTTTTTTGTCATTAAGAAATTTTCTATTTATTTTCCATACCAACCATAAATTCCCCTCTCCTCCCTCTTCTCTCCCCCCAGCTTTCCCCCAAACCCACCCCCATGCCCACCTCCTCCAATGCAAGGCCTCCCTTGGGGAGTGAGAAGAGCCTGGTACATTCTGTTGAGACAGGTCCAAGCCCCTCCTGCTGCACCAAGGTTGTGTAAGGTGTCCCACCATAGGTACTGGGCTCCAAAAAGCCTGCTCATACTCCAGGGGTAGATCTTGATCCCACTACCTGGGGGTCCTTTAAGCAGGTCAAGCTATACAACTCTCTTGCCTATGCGGAGGGCCTAGTCCAGTCCCATGGACACAGCTATTGGTCCACAGTTCATGAGTTCCCACTAGCTTGGTTTGGTTGTCTCTGTACATTTCCCCATCATAATCTTGATGCCTCTTGCTCATAGAATTCCTATTCTCTTTCTTCAACTGGACTCCTGGAGCTCAACCTGGTGCTTGGCTGTGGATCTCTGCATCTGTTGCCATCAGTTACTGGATGAAGGCTCTATGATGACAATTAGTGTGTTCACCAATCTCATTACTGGAGTAGGCCACTTCAGGCATCTTCTCCACTATTGCTAGTAGTTTAATCTGGGGTCATCCTTGTGGATTCCTGGGATTGTCCCTAGCACCCTGTTTCTCCCTATCTCCATGATGTCTCCCTCTATCATAGTATCTCTTTCCTTGGTCTCCCACTCCATTTTTGTTTCAGCTTGACCATCCTGTTCCCTTATGGTCTCATCTCTTATCTCCTACCCTCCATTGCCCCTCAAAGAAGAATCTCAAATGGCCAGAAGATATTTAAGGAATTGCTTAACATCCTTAGTCATCAGGGAAATGTAAATCAAAATGACTCTGAGATACCATCTTACACCTGTCAGAATGGCTGTGATCAAAAACAATGATAACAGCTTATGTTGAAGAGGATGTGGAGCAAGGTGAACACTCCTCTACTGTTGGTTGGACTGCAAACTTGTAGAGCCATTTTGGAGATCAGTATGGTGGTTTCTCAGAAAATTGGGAATCAATCTACCTCAAGACCCAGTTATACTATTTTTGGGCATATACCCAAGGAATGCTCAGTCATACCACAAGGACACATGCTCAGCTATGTTCATATCAACATTATTCATAATAGCAAGAACCTGGAAACAAACTAGATGCCCCTCAACTGAAGAATGGATAAAGAAAATGTGGCACATATACAAAATGGAGTACTACTCAGCATTAAAAAAAAGCAATGACATCATGAAATTTGCAGGCAAATGGATGGAACTAGAAAATAGCATCCTGAGTGAGGTAACCTAGACTCAGAAGGACAAACATGGTATGTACTCACTCATAAGTGGATACTAAATGTAAAATAAATGATAACCAGACTATAACCCACAGCTTGAGAGAAGTTAGCTAACAAGGAGAATCCTAAGAGGAATGCATAGATTGCCCAGGGAAGAGGTTATAGATAAGATCTCCTACATAAGATTATTTTGTGTGGGTGTGTATGTATATGAGAGAGAGATGTTTGTACACATGTGTGCAGTGATGTGTGAATGATGACTTTCCATTTTGTTTTATTTTATTTTATTTGTTGTTTTAATGTGGTGTTCTCTTGTCACCAGCCTCATCTGAAAAACAAAACAAAACAAAACAAAAAAAAAAAAACATTCTGTGTCCAAGTCTTATTTAATGAATTGTGCTTCCCATCCAAAGCAGTGCTGGGATCAAACCTAGGGCTTCATGCATACTCAATAAGCACTTTACAAACTCAGGGACATCCTCAAACACCAGATTTTATTTTAAAATAAAAGTCCATATGATGACAGGAGAAAAAAGGGGATGCTATGGTTTGTCTCAACAGTATGTTCGATGAATTTCATATATTTAATTACCATTCATAAATTACATCTTTTACTCAGAATTTAGTTTTATACCCATTAGGTTCAGACATCCCATCCAAAATAGGCATGTACTTAGTTTATTTTATTTTCTTAATGTCATCTGTGCTGTAACAGCCTCTCTGGATGTTATGGCTTTTTGGGGAATATACTATTTTCTGCAATGCTACTCTGTTGGGCTTCTTCTCAGTATTTCTTATACTTGGATTAAAGTTCTAGGATTAGCAAGGGCTGAGGAATCTGGATGCAGAGATTCATGGCTAGGCCCTGGGTGGAACTCTGGGAGTCCAATTACCGAGAAAGAGAAGGGTTTATATGAGCTAGAATTGTTGAAACCAAGGTTGGATAAAGCACAGGGACAAATAGCCAAATGAATGGAAACACATGAACTATGAACCAAAGGCTGAGGGGCCCCCAACTGGATCAGGCCCTCTGAATAGATCTCTGAATTATTCAAAGGCCACCTGGCCAAACATCCTAACTGTCATGCTAGAAACCCCATCCAATGACTGAGGGAACCGGATGCAGAGATCCAAGGTCAGGCCCCAGGTGGAGCTCCAGGAGTCCAATTGGTGAGAAAGAGGAGGGTTTGTATGATCGAGAATTGTTGAGACCAAGGTTGGAAAAAGCACAGGGACAAATATACAAACAAAAGGAAATACATGAACTATGAACTAATAGCTGAGGAGCCCCTAAATGGATCAGGCCCTCCGGATAAATGTTTCTCATTACCTATAAAGTACGTAAACATTTATTTAACATAACATGGAATCTTATCATCTAGATAAGAAAATATTTTAATTAAAATCTATGTGTTTACATTTTTCAACTGAAATTGTTTTGGCTTTGTCTATGGAAAACCCTGTGAGTGGCCTCCTGTACTATTTTGATCTCAGTCATATTTTCTGTCATTCTCTCTTTCTGTCTCTCCTTGCTCCTCCCTTCCCTCTTTGCTCTCCTTATTCCCTATTGTCTTTCTTTTTCCCTTCTTTCTTATTTCGTTCATTACTACACTCCCTTCTCTCTTTCTCCTTCCTTTTCCCCTTTCTCTCTAATATTCAAGTTTACTTAACATTAAATACAAAATATTCAGTAGGTCATAAATAATAATTAATTGAAAGGGGAAAAGGAGAATAAAATTGAGTGAGTGTGGGAGATGGTCCAATAGGAGTCCTTAGGAAGAATAAGAGTAAATAGACTCTATATCAATGAATTAAAAAAAAAACCAATATCTGTGTGTTCTTGCAAACATTTCTTCCAAATTAGTTAACAGATTGCTAATGGGTAGTTATTCACATGTATGTGTGTAGTTTACTGTTATAACCAGAAGAATTTCTGTTTATTTTGTGTCTCAGTTCTGCTTCAGTCCTTGATCCTTTTGTTGCCCAGGACTGACTTTAAACCTGTATGTCAGCCACCTGACTTTTTATCACACAATGTTGAGTGATCATAACCTTGTCTTTATTAACAAAGGTGTATAAAAGTTACATTGATTAGCCAGGTGGTGGTGTCACATGCCTTTGATCCCCTCCCAACCCCCCCACCCAGGCAAAGACAGGCAGATGGATCTCTGCTGAGTTCGAGGCCAGCCTGGGCTACAGAGTGAGTTCCAGCAAAGGCGCAAAGCTACACAGAGAAACCCTGTCTCGAAAAACCAAAAACAAACAAACAAATAAAAAAAAAGTTACATTGATTTGAAAGAATTACATGGATTTGTCATGAATCGCTTTAAAGCATCCTTCACGTCCTTGTTCCTCAGGCTATAGATCATGGGGTTCAGCATTGGGATTACCAATGTATAAAATACAGAGGCCATCTTATCAGTATCTAGTGAGTGGTTAGTTTGAGGCTGCAAATACATAAATAACAGCGTCCCATAGAAAACTGTGACAGCCATCATATGTGAAGCACAGGTGGAAAAGGCTTTTTTCCTTCCTTCTGAAGAACGGATCCTTAAGATAGACAACACAATGTTGAAATAAGACACTAGCACTATACTCATGGAAAAAAACAAGTTTGTAGCTGCAGATACAAAGACTACAGTTTCTGGAAGGTGGGTGTCAGAACAGGACAGTGCTAACAGAGGGACATTATCACAGTAAAAGTGATTGATTTTATTGGAGGAGCAATAAGACACAGAGAACACACAAGATGAAACAACAATGGCCGTGCAAAAGCCATACAAGTATGTGAGGGACACCAGCAGAAGGCAGACCCGCCGAGACACCACCACCATGTAGAGCAGGGGGTTGCAGATGGCCACATAGCGGTCATAGGCCATCACAGCCAGCATGAAGATCTCTGCTACAATGAAAATCAGGAATCCTCCCAGCTGGGTGGCGCATTCATAGTATAAGGTGGTTTTCTTACTGACTAAGAAGTTGACCAGCATTTTAGGTGCAATGACAGTGGAGTTGCCAAAGTTGATGACAGCCAGGTGTCTGAGGAAGAAGTACATGGGAGTTTGAAGTCGTGAGTCCACGGTGGTGAGGGTGATGATGCCCAGGTTTCCTGCTGCTGTCAGCATGTAGATGACCAGGAAGACAAAGAAAAGTGGTACCTGCAGTTCTGGACGATCAGAAACACCAACAAGAATGAACTCAGTGACATGAGATAAATTTCTAGGAGCCATGTAAAAGTTGTGAATTCATCTGTTTGGAGAAGAAAAGAATTGTATACAAAGTTAAGGAAGTATTTTCTACAATTGCCTTTAGACAGGAGGGTCCTGGGTTGAGAATTTTCTTGAATTATGAGTGAGTTGCAATTCACTTACAAAAGTCAAGTTTTGCTGCTTGAACCTGTGCTGCAGAGGGTAATCAAGGATAATGAATTAAATAAATAATACTGCATCAGGTAAGGTTTGTAATCTTCTTTACGTTCATAAGGAAGTACAGACATGCTCTTAGGCTGCAGTATTTGAAGCTACGATTCATATCTTATCTCTTATTGAGTAAGAGAAGGGCATGGGGATTTGTATAATATTCAATAATGCAAACTATCATTATACTGAGACTTGTTTTATCTGAAGCACACATGTTTATAGATGGTGTCCTTTACATTTTCTAGAGACTGTCATAAAAAGTTTCTAGGTGCAAATTTAACTTACATATTTTGCCACTGCATCTGTTAGCATTTCATTTATTTCCTCCTTATTAACTAATACAAAAACCACATGAAGATATGTCCTTAGACACTTAGGAATATTATTCAAAGTGTTGAATCTCTACTTTCAAAGGGTTGTCAAGATGTTAGCATTTTATAACACCTTGACATTATTCATAGGACATACTACCCTTGACTACACTTTCCATTTTTTGTCCTATAAGCTTCATATTCTTTCTATTGTGTTTTAATCAATAATAATCTTATTACATTTTGACTATTTTATAATGTATGAAATTTGTCTTCTAATTTAATCATGTATATGAAAATTTCAATATTTTATTATAATAATACTGGCCATCTTCATATAATTGCTAAGATAATAATATGCATATTGTCATAGACTTTCACATCACTTTCATATGTTCAGAATGTTGCTAAAGTTGTTTACAGGATGACCATTTATCCTAACTAGATAGCCGGGGTCCCTTCAGCATTCACAACTGATGGTGCTTGTCTGTTACACAGTCATCCTCCATCTACAAATTTGCACTTAATGTTTGGAGAGTCATGTCATAATTATGTTACTACAAATGTCTGGTAGAATCCAAGAGATGTTGACATGTTCTCTCTTTCTAAAATGGACAGGAAAAACATGGACACTTAAGCTGCAATTAGAAAAGAAAATTTAAAAAACTGATACTGTGAAAAATCAAATTAAATCAGATAAATAAACCCAACTGAAACATAGTATTATAGGGCAGCTGATACCTTTGTCTCTGACAACAAGCACTACTCTGTCCCCTTGGTTTCTTTGTGATATTTTTGTCATTTATTTGTTAACCACACATCTCCTGAGTTTCTGCTTTGGGACAAAAAACATTTTGAAGTTTTATATAAATCATTTGTCTTTCCTCATGCACCTAATGTTCCATGTACAAACCCAGGAAACCAAATTTGTAAATAAACCTGTAAACAAGATCACTGAAGTAGGTACCAGGTATGATCACTGAGGCAACCAGGGAGAGTAATTTGACATGGAATAATGGGGAGCTTGTTTTTGCAAAAATAATGTTTGAATTTAACCCTAAATAAACATATGAAAACAATTATGTAAAGAATCAGAGAGAAAAAAAAAACCCCAGGGTTTTGGGCCATAAGAAACATTGGAGAAATGCCATTCTCTGTGATAGGAAATGTCTTACCAAGCACAAGCTTTCTGTGTGTGGGAAGGGAGAGCTTAAGAGGAGAGAATGTTACTAGGTTTTTATGAGGAAGTGGGGAATTAGTAGTCTCTCGTGTGATATTACATTGGGCGTTACATTACTACATGGATTTTGCACTTCTTTCCTTGCTTGTGAATCATAGAGAAATTTTAAGAGAGACAAGTATTTGATTTTGATATTTGAACCACAGTATTTTTTTGCTGTTGTGATGATTATGAACTGTAGGGTTTGGGAAAAGGCTAGAGGTTGGACCAAAAGGAAAATTTAAAGCATAGAAAAACCACTTAGTTATTTTTATGGGCTTTTTTTGGAGTGAGATATTACTGGGTAGGCCAATGTGGAGAAGATGGAGTTTGAAAGACTAATTTGACAGCTATAAGAAGAATAAGATGGTATCTTCTATATAATCTTTGAATTGAATCACATGGAGTGTGGAATGACAGCTTATACATATAATAGTGATTTGGGGGCGATACTTAAGAATCAGGTCAATGTCCATGTAATTGTTTGATTTTTCATAGGAAATTATTTAAAATGTAGTAATACAAGTTCTGTTTTCAGTATACTGTGCTTTTCAAGCTTGTAAAATATTTACTAGGCATTTAGGGAATCAAGTATTAGTGGTTTCTTTGTTACAGGTACTTGAGAGACTATAAAATATGTAGAGGGATAGTATTAGGCCATGTATCACAAGATATTTCTGTCTTTAATTTAAAACAAAGTTTGATATGCTGTCCAGCAAATCTCTATCTCTGATCACTGATAACCAATGCTTTGAGTTTCGAAAACCTGGCTTAATATTAAAAGAAAATATTAAGTTTGATGGTTGGTACTAGTAATCACAGTGCTCATGAAGCTGAGGCAAGGGGATGGTGAATTACATGACAGTTTCCAGCCTAGTTTCAGTCACATAGCAAGCAACTATCTCAAAAAGAAAGAAGAAAAGCAGGGAGGGGAATGCTTTAGAAAAAATTGCTCTCTATGTACACCTGAAATATTTATAGCACATAAATTAGGGACACTCCAACCCCTGCCTGTGGAGCCCGAGTACTAAGAGGTGGATCGATTGTTCTAGGGCTCCTATAACTGGACCAGCGAGAAGTGGGGTGATGCCAGACCCCTCAAGATGGGGTTCTTGGATCCCTTTTCCTGTGAATGGAGGCTTAGGCCTCCAATAAAGTACATTCTAGGCTTTTTCTAACAAAAAAAAAAAAGAAAGAAAGAAGAAAAGCAGATCTGGTGGTGTAAGGCTCTACTCGCTGGACTCAAGATATGGAGGCAGGATGATGGGCTGTCTAAGAGCATCCAGAGCTTTGCTCTCAAATGTGCTTGAGGGAGGCAGAGGAGAAGTTTATTCTGAACTTTCTATACTAGGTAAATGAACTAAGTGAAAATTTCAGAAAGCATGTTTGCTTCCTGGGAATGTTACCCATGACTATGAAACAGGCTTCATCGTAATAAACTAGGGTTCTGGGATTCCATAGTTAAAGTCCAGTCTTTTAGCAGATGTCCCTTTCCAATGTGACCCAGTATTCTGACACCTCATCAAAGTGTTTCCTTTCGACAGACTCTTATCTGAAATGTAGGCAGCTTCATCTACTGTCTGATAGACGACTTTTGTAAATGTGTTTCACTTCTTGGTTGATTGCATATTTTAAAACACTATATGAATTTGCATATGTGGCATCAAATATTTTCAATGTCTTTATGAGGCAGTCTTACTCTTTAGTGCTGACTCACCTGTAACTGACTAGCATGTTTCCCATGTTCTATTTGCTTCAACCTCCTAAAACTTAGATTATGTCATGTACCACTATGCAGGAATATCATTCCCTTTAACTTACATTTTTCCAAAGAAATTTACATTCTCAAGGAAGAATGCAATTTGTTTGTACTACTGTGTATTTACTTTCTTAAAAAAAATAAATGTAGTGATGAAAACATAGAATTTCCTATTTAGATAATATAACAACAATAAAATAACAAAAATTATTCACCAAGAAAAGTGCATTGTTTAAGGAATATGATTTACTTAATACATGAAACAGTTGAAAATTCAATTTAAAAACATGGATGGCTGATTATTACTGCACCCTGTACTAATAAATACAGTTACAATCTTCTGAATAAATGCTGTTTAAAATATTTTACTACCTGATTATCAGCTGTTCATACTTCTAAAACTAAAGGAGGTGGTTTGCTTTAAGACATTATGTGGATTTATAAAGTCCTTATAGAAAAATATGGAATATTTTTAACCAACCTGAAATGAACATTGGACTTCATATTCTTGGTCAAAATCTCTACATGGCTGCATCCATGAGTGCTATAAACCTGTGAGATTCAAAATGTGAAGCACAGTGATACCAAGATCCATAAATAGTCTGTTGCATCCCTGGGGAAGATGCTACAAGGACTGGTTGTTAAAAAGACTCCCCTGTAGGAATTGATCCAGTCATAAACAGATACTTTCTCTCTTCTTTAAGACAAGGTTGGACAGTGTGTCCCCATGATGAATTGGAACTCCTTATCCTCCCACCTTTTGGGCACACACTTAGTTTCCTTTGCTGTAGTCTGAGCCTGTATTACTGAATTGAATTGAATTCAAATAAATGGTATCTAAGGGGAACAGAGATTAAATTGCATCTGTTAAAGGACCTCCCTTCTTTGCTAGGATTCCTTATTGCAAACATGGATTATTTTTAAACCAAAGAACTAGTGGTCTAGCAATAAAGTGAGAACAAGTTTTATATCCAAAGGATGTGCCAATCATTCTACCATTTGTCTTCATGCTTTATTCCCCTTTAATTCAAAAATAGAATTGACATAGTCATTACCTCCCGGAATGGTATGAAGTGGATTTTAAAATACAACATCCATGGCCTAAGTAGATGATGGAGTATGTAACAGTATTTGAAGCACCCACAGCTCCAGTGAGGCTAGCTAACAGGGAAAGACCCTAGGAGAGACACATTGATGACCCAGCGAAGGAGAAATGAATGAGATCTACATGAGTGGACTGGGTGAGTGGGGGGTGGCAGAAGGTGAGGAGTGGGGATGAGAACATAGGGAAATGGGAAGGTCAAGCTGGAACAGGGACAGAGTGGGAGGGCAGGGAAGGAGATACCATAATAGATGAGGACGTCATGGGAAAAGGAAGAGGCAGGGTGATGGGGAGGCTCTCAAGAATCCACAAGGATAACCCCACCTTGGACTGCTGGCAGCCGTCTAAAGGGTGCCTGGACTGGTCTACTCTGGTGACCAGTCTAGCAAATAACCTAGCTGTCATCATAGAGCCTTTGTT